TCTCATCTTGACTTCTGAATGTTGAAAATGACTTTTTATGTCCCATATATTAAATAGTTTAACTAGGTATAGAATTTTATGTTGAAATTATTTTCCCTCAACCCTTTGAAGATTTTAGGCATTTATTTTTTACTGATGACATTTCTGCTGAATGTCATTGTTTAGAAGACAAATTTCCTGTAGGCAATCTTCCCTGTAAAACCTTCTGTAGGTTTTATAACTTGCTCATCTTTAATTTTCTGAAGTTTCACTTGGGTATATCTTGATATGAATTTATTTTACCTTACAATGCTTGATAGTTTTTTAATCTGAAAAGTCTTATCTTTGATTTTGATAAGATAAAAAAAAATGCATTTGCTTTTTTCTTTTCAAATATGCATCTAGCAAATTCTGTCTGATTTCTTCTTTTGGAACTTCTTATTAGGTGAGTTTTTGAATCCTTTAAACTTTAATCTATGTTTCTTAATTGCACTTTCATTTTAAAGCCATATTTAGGTGAATTACTCAGAGGTAGTTTTAACTTTGCTGGTTATTTCTCTGACATATCCAGTCTTAAAGGTATGTTATTTTATTTTAATGAATATATTTTTTATTCTCAATATTTCCAGTTTTTTTTTCTCCCACATCTGCTTGTTTTTATCTTAGGTGTTCCTTAAATTCTTATCCTACATTTATGGCTGTTGTGACTTCCTTTACTTACTCAGGGTTGCAAACATACTTATTTTACATCCTACTTATATTGCACTATTATTTGTATTTTGTTTGCAATACTCATTGCCTGACTATTGGTATTTGTGGCTCTTTCTTAGTCTTCTTTTTTCTTTTTGTCTCAAAATGTCAATTTTCTACTTTCTCTTTCCCCATCTCCATCTGTGCTCACCTCTCCCTAGATATTATGTGATTCTTTCTAATCAGACAGAAGAACTGAAGGGGCACAGAAAATGCCAGCTTCATATTTTATCCATGGAAACCAGTGAGTGAAGGGGTTGCCTGACTTAGAACCTCATGGCTCAGCTATATATTTTCCCCCTTTCACAGCTCAGGGAATGATCATGTAAACGATGATCATGTAAGCCTGCGGTACTGGGTACTTGCAGCATTTCCTCTCTGGTTTCCAGAGTGGAGCAGCCCCATCCCACAAGTCTCAGCAGCCACTCTGGTCCTGGTCCCTCTCTTCACGTGGTGAAGTGGTGTTAGTGCCTGTTTGGTAGCTTCCTTGTCATATATCTGGAGTCACAGACCAGCAGATTCACAGCTTTAACCCGCTTCATCACCTGATGTCTTCTTTCCTTCCTAAACTATGGGCCTGTCTCCATTTAGGGTTGAGTATGGACAAGTCTTTAACATAAAAAACAAAAACAAAAGCAACAGTTTGCCTTGGAGAAGAATCATTTTGGAGATTGAACTCAGCGCCATCTTGAAAACAAGCACAGCTGTATTTTAATTTATTTTTTAGGACTCATATCATGCTCTTCCAAATTTACAGGAGAGCAAAATCCCTAGACCCTTCACAAATCCAATGCTGTCAGCACCAAGTTTCTTCTAATCCCTCGCATTGTCTGGTGAGGTTGGAGCTTGATGTGCTGTGACATTTGTCCTTGTTCCAGCTTGATATTGTGTTTAGAAATCCCATGATTTTTTTAGCAGACTCTCCTAGCTTTGAAAACCACAGGCTCTGTGTCTTCGTGGGGCTTATTTACAACTTGGATGAGGACTGGGACTGAGACAGAACCCTGTTACAGTCCCCAGAGGTTCTCTGTTCCACACCAGTTGGCCCCTTGGCACGATATCAGTGTGTTTTTTCAAGCTATGAATTCACTCACAGTGGAAATCACTGAGTCACGGAGGCAGAGAGCATATTTGCTGCTAGAAGAGGAATTTCAAGCTTGATTGTGCCAGTTACTAAAGATCTGACCATAAAACAAGTTGCATCACTTTCTACAGCTTTCTATTTTCTCATGTAGCAAATGAAACTTAGAAAACAGAGGCTTGTGAGGTCCCAGTGGGGTATCGGGTCAAGCTCCTGACAGTGGTGAAAGGAATTGTCCTCCTTTCTTACCTTTCCCTTGATCAGCCCCCTGCACATTTTTATTCATTTTGTTTCTGTCCCTTGACTCAGCAAAGGACTTGTTTGGAATCAAGGTTTCTATGTCCCTGAAGTGATGGTGGTCTGCTAGTCTCTTAGTTTCTAGTCAAAGCTCAGGTCCACCTAGGTCTCCTGGCTTCCCAGGTGTCTCAGACCATAAAGAATCTGCCTGCAGTTCAGGAGACTTGAGTTTGATCCCTGGGTTGGGAAGATCCTCTGAAGAAGGGAACGGCTCAGTTCAGTTCAGTCGCTCAGTCGTGTCCGACTCTTTGTGACCCCATGAATCGCAGCACGCCAGGCCTCCCTGTCCATCACCAACTCCCGGAGTTTACTCAAACTCATGCCCATCGAGTTGATGATGCCATCCAGCCATCTCATCCTCTGTCGCCCCCTTCTCCTGTCCCCAATCCCTCCCAGCATCAGGGTCTTTTCCAGTGAGTCAACTCTTCGCATGAGGTGGCCAAGGTACTGGAGTTTCAGCTTCAGCATCAGTCCTCCCAATGATCACCCAGGACTGATCTTCTTTAGGATGAATGGCTACCCACTCCAGTATTCATGCCTGGAGTATTCTATGGACAGAGGAGCCTGGTGGGCTCCAGTCCATGGGGCACAAAGAGTCGGACATGACCAAGCAACTAACACTTAATACCTAGATCTTCAACCAACACAAAGGAAGCAGCATTAGCAAAGAACAGAGAAATGATGTAGGTAGGGGGATGCTCTGCTGTAAGACGCCTGGAACACAGCGGGGTGGTGGAAATGGGTCTGGTAAGGAAGTTGGTGTCCAAGACAGAAGAGTCTCTCAGACCAGGCTAAGGAGGTAAAACTGTCTTTTGGGCCATGAGGGACAAGCACACATTCTTAAGGTGAGGGGTGATGAAGTGTGATCACATTGGTGTCAGTGTAGGTTTAATGGGGGAAGGAATGAGAGGATGGAGACCCCTAGGTAAAAGCACATGAGGGCTGAATTAGGTCAGTGGGCATGGAGAGGAGGGGAGAGAGGTGAGCAGGAAGGACTTTCCTGGGTTAGAATCCATAGGACTTGGTGACTAAGGGAGCATGTGGAGTTAGGGGGGTGAGTCACAAAGATGAGTCAAGCATGACTGCGAAGCTTCTCACTTGGGAAGCTTGGTGATGGAGGGGGCAAGGGTTCTCCATGTGGTCCTCAGACCAGTGGGCACCTGCTGGACAGGCCAGTTCTCTGGTCCACTCCAGGGCTATCTAATCAGACATTCTTTGGAGGCAACTCGGCTATTTATTTTAACAAGTACTCTAGGTGATTGTAATGCACACAGACGTCTATGAACTGCTGAGATGGGTAATGCACAGGGAAGAGCAGGTTTGGGAGAAAATAATAATGTTAGACCATATATTAAGGGCTTTGAGAAAACTGTGAGGCATCCAGACCATGCTCGGAATGCAGCTGTTGTTACAAGACTGGTGATTAAAAGAAACATTACATTTTTAGATAGAAATTTGCTAGACCTAAGTGTTTACATTTTAGAGATTGGTTCATTTTTCCAGGATTCCTAATCATTTTATTTTCTCAACTGAAATCACGTGGGATCATCAGTTAAATAAATAATTTTGATACACTGCGAAGTTTCTTACCTTGAACTTCAGTTAGAAAAGATATCAAAGGAAGGGAAAATAGAGCTTTCACCTTAAGCATAATTAAAGTGCTTGATCCAAATAATGTTTGAATTTCCATCCTGGAAAACAAAACATGAGAAACTGAACTTTGAAAACTACATCTTGAGCAAACGAGAGATATTTCCTCCTGACATTTCAGAAGGATATTTACACCCTGATGCCATTACACATTGTAATTATGTAATTGCACATTATAATTGCACATTCTAATTACATGATCGCACATGTTATGCTAATTATATAATTAGACTTAATGATAGCAATTGTGCAAGTACATAGTATCAGAATCAAAATGAATGAATTAAAAAACTAGGGTACACATGAGAATTATAACTTTGCAATATAATCCTCAAAAAATCTAAAGTAGTTAATGGACATTTCACATGAAATTAATGGACAGAGGGAAGCTGCCTCCTTTGTTGGTTATGCTAACCTCTGCAATCTTGCTAATATTTGATAAAAATTAATGTGCGTCATAAAATTGGGAAGCAGAATGCAAAAGAGAAAGATGGAGAAAGAGAAGCAACTGCAAGAGTGAATAGGAGTTAAACAGAGCAGATACAATTCTGTTTTTATCCTTATTCATATGTTCCCTCCTGCTCTGACAGCCATCAAGATTTTAATCATATCTGAATTCCTGTGCTTTTGTCATTTAACTGCCAACTTTAAGATTCTGTGAATGGGACATTCACTGTAATTACAGTTCTTCTGAACTTCCTCAGGATTGCAAGTCTTTAGATAGTATCTCGAAACCTTGGAATGTTTATTTTTAAGAGTTTCAACTGATCTCCATCCTGGGAAAATAAGAGTCCGCTGACAGTTATTCCTTTCATGTGGTGATGCGATCAACTTCTGCTTGTTTTGTAAGCCAAGGGTCTCAGCATAGAGAAAGCTGCACAGGCTTCTCCTTCCCACGAGCCTGCGACCCGCCGCTGGGAGACGATGGGCAAGGAGGCTCGTCTGTCTCTGGGGTGGTTCCAGCCATCAGCTCCAGAGCACAGAGGGAAGCGTCATCTCCAAAAAGGCAATTTTAACTGCATGTTCTCCTGAAGATTCGCCAAAATGGCTGGTTTAATTCCCTGGGCAATCTGTTTCCGCCCGTCACAGAATCTGGGGCTGTCTCGGGGCTGACGGAGAGCGGGCACCAATTCGGTTCTCTTTCCTTCGGGGTGTGGGAGGAACCCGCGCTGCCAGTTACTGCCTGGAGGTGGACGGGCCTGATTCCTCCTGGGCTTTGTCCTTTCCTCGTCGGGTTTCCCAGGACATCTCACGCCTCTGTCTCAGCCCCTCATCTGTCCTGAGGGGATGACCGGTCCCCGCAGCTGGCGGCTGGAAAGGGGACCAGCACCCCTTCCCTGGGCTGATCATGGCGCCGCGGTAGCCCCTGCTTCCGAGGGTCTCCAAGCTCCCGACGGCGGCCTTGACCTCCTTGGCTTCCTCGTGGCTGAGCCCAGGCTTGGGGGCAGCACTCAGATGCAGCGGGAGCGCAGCCCTAGAGCAGCATCCTCCCCCCACCCCGCGTGAGGGGACCGCAGGGTCACATGCTGCTCTGTCTTAAACGGCACACTCCCTGGAGACGCAGCGTCACACTACAGTTTCATTTTCAACCCCCTGAATGTGGACAGCACCGCTCTCTGCACTTTGGGTGGTTTGGTGTCCAGGTGCTCTGGTCATCACGAGTGAGAGGACCACAACCCACCACTCCCACAGTGGTCACACACCTTGGGCATCTCCTGGCCTCTTAGGCTTGGTCCATCCACGGGGTCAGATTCACTTTCTTCCTGCGACTCAGAGTGATTCAGCCCATTTTGCCAAAAGGGATGATACAGTGTGCTTTGAGACCAGCTTTCAATTATCTGGAGCATTTTCTGCCTGTGAATTAGAGAACTGTGGAGGACTAGATGTCTCTTAGAGAATACACACCCGGAGGCAACATTCCATACGAGAGGGACTACATCTTAGAATGGATTAGCAGACCATTGGAGGAAGGAAGAGCTCTAAGCTGTGTCCTAGAATTTTAGTTCTGTGCCATCTCCATGACCCCCCCCCCTCCCCTGTCCTGTCTCCCTCCACAGAATGATGTGGGTACATTCTCTGGTGTACAAAGTGCTTATTGAACAGCTGATCCTAGGCTGAGCCGCGAAGAGGAACAAAGGTGAGAGGAGAGTGTTCCTCGATCTGGACCTTGTGGTTGATCAGAGACACGCAGCCTGCTCGCGAGTCAGACGAGGGCTGGGGAGAGACTAGAGAAATGTGGTGAGATGCTGGGGAGGGGGGAAGGGCCCCTGGAGGCTCAGGAAACAACAGGCATTTGAACTTCATCATGAGGAGGGACAGGATTTCATTGTCGGCCCAAGGGCAGCCCAGGGCGGGGCAGGTGGTGTGAGGAGAGCTCCCCCCAGGGAAAGTTAAATCAGTCAGGACCCAGCGTGGCCTCAGCCAGGGGAGTCCTCAGAGGTGCGCTTGGCCAAGTGATGGGAGTCTTGCTTTAGGGCTGAGCAGTTTTAACTTAGTCTGGAGGGGAAAGGGAGCCACTGGAGATTTGGGGCAGGAGACAGAGAGCATCAGAGCATCAGAGGTGGAGTCTGGAGAGATGTGAGCAGGGACTGGGAAGCTCCGGGTTGGGAAGATGGGTTTCTGTCACCCATGTTTAGGCCTCTCTTAGCTGAAGCTTCCCCCTTCTCCTCCTTTCCCGCAGTTCGTGAGTTTAAAAGTCACGGACAGGCTCCTTCCAGTTTCCGTCTCTCTCCTCTGCCTCCCACCCCGTCCCTCCTGATTCCCCTCCTCTCTTATCTGTTGATTCGTCATGTCTTACGGAATCCCAACCCCAGCTTCTTTGCCGCACTGATCCAGGGTCCAGGTTCAGACGATGCCGGGGGGTGTCAGACACCCCTTTGGCCTGGAGCCTGATCTAAGAGGGAGGGTGGGGAGCTGACAGCGTGATATACCCTGTGATGTGCTGAGAGTGGGTGCTAAGGGCCTCAACGCTGATCCCCCTGAGAAGGGGTGGGCAGGCTTCTTGGGAGACCTGCCTGTCCTCCTGAGTCTTGAAAGCAGAGGGGTAGTGAGTTAGATAGATGGGGTTCAAGGCAGGACTACACTCTAGGCAATGGGGCTGGGCATAGAGGGAACAAGCATCAATCTGCAAGGGTGACCTCCCCATCCACGCACAGTTCAGTGCAGGGGTCTCCTCGCCCAGCACGATGCCTCCTCCAACAGCTGCAGGTCCGCAGAACATTCCAGAACACAGCCTACTAACCTGCCCAGGAAGCCCCATCCAGACCACCTTTCGCCAAATCGTGTCTTCTCCACATCGGGTTCACCTTACCCTGCTCATAGATTTTTCATGTAACAGTTCATCTTCTAACATACTATAAAAGCTACTTTGTTTTAAAGTGTGCCTGTTTTCACCCACCTCATCCCCCATCAGTGGAATATAAGCTCTGGGTGGGAGGGTTCCTGTGGACAACTTGAGCTTTGGGAAAGCCAAATATTGGTCTCAGATCACAGAAGCAGCAGCTGGCCGAGCCAGATTGCCATCAACCCCAGGTCCCTGGGCTTCCAAGACGTGGGCGCTGGTTCTCGGCCATTCACCAGAGCTCCAATGTGTTCAAACACATCCCTGAGTTCCTAAGAGTGTATGGAAATAAAACGAGCATCTGTTGGTTTTCATTAGTAAATGCCTTTTAAAGATTTTAAGAAGCTAAAACAAATACACAGCTAGGAGAGGTCTGAAAGAGCTTCAAGATGCCTTTCATATGGAGTGACTTAAACATAAGCTATGGATTACATTTCCGTTAGCCCAATTAATCCAACCAGTATCTTCTCATTTCAAAATGCTGACTTGGGTGTTTCCTCTGGACGCGTGATCAGGCCTTCGGGTACTCACGTGGCTCTGATTCTGAGAGTGAGGCTCACGTGTGTAAGAGCAGCGAATGTTTCAGAGCACTTTGGCGCCAGGCATCATTCTGAGTGTATTCCGTGTGTTAACACATATGACTGCCTCCTGTCTCAGAGACTCAAGGGGGTGGGTCGCGTTCTTGTGGGCAGGAAACCAGGTTCGGTGTTTGAATCACCTCATAAGTCAACGGCAGGATCGGGGTCCACACTCCACCATCACACACCTGTGTTCTCATCCTAGAGCAGGAGGCAGACTGCTCTGGGCTCCAATTCTTAAGCAAATCCTACTGCTCTGTGAACCTCAGGATTTTGTCTGTAATGAGCAGATTATTGCCCACCTCACAGTGGAGCAGGTCTGTGAGTTCATGAACAGGGGTGGTTTGTCAATTCAACAAAATCTGAACCTTTTTTTTTAAAGCTGTGAGTACTGCCCAAGATGAAGGGGCCCTTCTCAACCTGCCTGATCCTGTCTGCTCTGGAGGCCTCTTCCGCGGGCCCTGATAACCAGGCGGCCAGGAGTTCGGGTCCATGGTTCTCATCACTGGCTGTCTGGGCTCTCCTCGCAGTTACTAGAGACCCAGATCTGTGAGCTCTAGGAAGAAGCACAGCTTCTGATTCAGCTACGCATTCACTCACAGGAAGAGGGCAGACACGCTGACCCACTGGGGGCTCTGCTAAAGACAGGGACATCCCTCATGTTTTCAGTCTTAAAGAACTAAGAGGATCTCTTAGAAAGAAGCTAATTTTATAAGCTTACTACATGTACATATTATAAATAAGTGTATATATCTGAATTAATCTGCATTCATTGTGACATGCATTTTAAAAATACACTCCTATATATATTTCTCAGAATATATGTCTCATTATAACCTGGAGTGTCTATTTATCTGGGAATCTGTTTCTAGGTTTAATGTACTTGGGTTGTCTGCTTTTCTTATTTTCTCTATATGAGCTTCCCTGGTGGCTCAGTGGTAAAGAATCTGCCTGCAATGTGGGAGACGCGTTTGGTCCCTGGGTTGGGAAGATCCCCTGGAGAAGGGAATGGCAGCCCACTCCAGTATTCTTGCTTGGAGAATCCCATGAACAGAGGAGCCTGGGGGCTACAATTCATAGGGTTAGTCACAGTCGGACATGACTAAACTACCACCAGCACGACCACCACCATTTTCTGTATGTAGACTTTTTTCTTTGAATAAGGAAGCCAATCTGTGAAATAACAAAAATAATCATTCTAAATAAGTGTGTTGGATGTATGTGCTACTCTGGGATCAGATACATACACATATGCACGTGCATGCACATGACAAACATATACTTTATTCTACTCCCTCTCTGAAAATTCCTGCATCAAATGTCTCATTAATGGCATGAGTCATAAGAAAGGAAGTCCTTTCCCTTTCTAAAATTTTCTACTTGCTCATGATTTGAAATGAGTATTTTGTTCTAGCAGAAGCTACTACTTGCCATTCGAGGTAAGCCTGACAGTAGTAATCCTGTTTTATGTAGTTTATTTATTTGTTATGGTTTTCCATGAAGGCTGCTGTTTAAAAACACTTCACCATCTGATTAGCACTATTTCAGCAGATTTTGACGAGCCATGGGAAAAATAACTCATGTGCAAGCTTCCTTCATCCAAAGCAAACGTGAAGGCCCAGAGTTTGGGCACAGCAACTGGGAAAGCAAACCAACAGCTATTTAGTCTGATATGTGTGTGGCAGGGCAGGGAGAGGGGATTGATGGAATGCCTAAATGGTTTATAAAAAGCAAGGCATTAAGTATTGGAAAGGTCTAGAAATTGGCACTCAACAGTGAATGGTGAGATTGGTTCTCTCCAGCAGGCATGAGACCAGCCAGTGCCTGTGGGCAAGACCACCCAGGAGCTCAGGCAGGCGTGCTGAGCTGCACTGCACATGCACAAGGGCTGGCTTCATGCTCTGCGCTTGCAGAGATGGAGACTCAGGTTCAAGGTCAGCTTGGTCCACTGCGTGTAGCCTAGGAAAAACCTCTGTGCTTCGGTTTGTTCTACTGTGATTATTCCCATCCTTAGCCAGTAACTTCCCGAGGATCCTGAGAGAATGTGTGATATAAGACAGAGAAGTTCCATCTGACTTTTCAAAGAGAGGGAGTGCTACACTAATTATTACCCATATTATTATGAATAACATAGACATTTATTTAAAACCACCAATTTACTGCTGTAATTACATTTAACTACATCAGGAGAATGCCGGGCTGGATGAAGCACAAGCTGGAATCAAGATTGCTGGGAGAAATATCAATAACCTCAGATATGCAGAGGACACTACCCTTATGGAAGAAAGTGAAGAGGAACTGAAGAGCCTCTTAATGAAGGTGAAAGAGGAGAGTGAAAAAGCTGGCTTAAAACTCAACATTCAGAAAACAAAGATCATGGCATATGGTCCCATCACTACATGGCAAATAGAAGGGGAAACAATGGAAACAGTGAGAGATTTTGTTTTCTTGGTTTCCAAAACCACTGCAGATGGTGACTGCAGCCATGAAATTAAAACACGCTTGCTCCTTGGAAGAAAAGCTTTGCCAAACCTAGATAGCACATTGAAAAGCAGAGATATTACCTTGCCAATGAAGGTTAACTTAGT